CTCCTCATTCCTCCTCCTCCTCCTCCGCCTCCTTCAGCTCATGCCCTTCTCCCTTCCCCTGTCCCATCCACCTTCTCCTGAGCTTCTTACACGGTGGTAAATGCCCCTGCCCTGATGCTGGCAGGGGTCTGAGCCCTTTGGGAATGTTCTCGGCCCCAGAGGCCTCTGCACCAGGAGGTCATGGGCGAGCTTCGGGGACCTCCCTGGTGGTCAGGACGGGCACTGAGTGCCTGGTGAGACCACTCTGGCTGTCCAGACTTAAGGGAGTGATGGAGAGTAAACTGTGGAGCGCATCACGCGTACACCAGCCCCCACTCCCAGGTTTATATAGTCATGTAGGGTATGTAAAGGCCTTTCCTTCCTGCCCCGCTGCGCCATGCTCTAAAATCCTGGGTCTTGTGGCCTTTGAGTACACAGTGAAACGGGCTCTGCCTCCTCCTCTGTCCCCTCTCCGGGTAGCGGCACCTCCTTTTTCCTTTAGGGCAAGAATGTCAATATTGACCTACTCAGTTCCTCCTTCCTCAGCAAGGCCGTTAACCTACTGGTCCCCGGATGAACGCTCGCACCGCTGAGAACTATGGGGCCTCTTCTCACCTGCCCACCACTGCCAAGGCCAAAGTCTAAGAGGGAGGCCCAGGGCCAAGAGCCAGGAGAGTCCTCTGTGGCTGCGGAAGGTGAAATCCCATCCGTCCAGTTCTGTCCTTTGTTAATAGTGATACAAGTGAATGTCAGAGGACAGAGGTGCCAACCCTGAGACAACCCAGAAGGAGGCCGAGCCAGGAAGAGAGGTAGAGGCTCCCTCACAATCTGGTGCCACACTCACGGCACAAACCAAACCCACCCCTACTCACTCAAAGCCCCCGTGTCAGCAGGCCACCCCACCCCCACTCTGTACTTCCCCCTGCAGCAGACTGGGCCTGCTCTTTGGGCCAATGGCGGGCTTGGGCTGAAATGAGTGATGGGGAGGACGCTAAGAATGGGGAAGAAAAAGAGGAAGAAGAAGGGAGGAGGATGAGGAGGAAGAGAAGGGAGGGAGAGGAGGGAGGGGGAGGAGGGGGAAGAGGAGGGGGGAGGAGGCAGGGCAGGGGGGAGGAGGGAGGGGTAGGAGGGGGAAGAGGGGGAGGAGAGGGAGGGGGAGGGGGACAGAGACTGAATGCAGGGCTTTGAAAAGTAAACTCTGAAGCATTCCAGAAACAACTCCTTAGTTGGGCCATTGTGCTTAAATACTGATCCAAGTTAATTTGGTCTGTGGGGACCAAACTCTCTGAATTCCTTATTTTTAAAAATACCTACATCATCCCTCAGAGAAGAGCTGTCTCCTGAATCTTACAGACTTGGAAGAAACCCTTGAAGACGAGGCAGGGAGGTGCCAGGGACAGAGGGCTAGCTCAGGAGTCAGAAGGCCAGGGTTCAAATCCTACTCTACTTAGGGAATACCTGTATTAACAAAGGAAATCCCAAAGCTTCCCTGAGTATTGTTTTCCCCACCTGTAGAACTGGCCTAAATGGCCCCTGGGAGGTTCCTTCCACGTGGAAAACTCCCACCCTCGGACCCTAGCCTAGTCCCCGTGCCCTTGCCATTTTCCAAAGGAGGAAAGTGAGGCCCAGAGAGAGGCTAGGCTCTATTAAGTAAAAGCTGATCTAGAATGACCCTGTAGGATATAAACAGAATGTACTAAGAATGAGACTGAACCAGCCATTTGGAAAACAAAACCTCCCATCTATGGGCAGTGGGACCTTGGCCCTCACCCAGCTTACTCACTGAAGCAGACTTGGGCCACAGGCAGCGTCAGCTGCGGACCCCCCGGCAGCAGCAATCCCCACAAGGCTGAATGCTCTCCAGCACCTTGCATCCTTCCCCTCACCAGCCTGCTGGAGGAGACATCCAGGCAGCCAGCCTGTTCTCCCCTTCCTGAGGCTCCGAGGGGCCACACCTGGCTTCTGACACTGCACGTCTCCCAAACAGTATCCCTGGAAGGCAGATCTCCAAGACGGTGCCAGCCCACAGGGACGCCAGCTTTATTTAGTCGGTGTCGGCCCCAAGCTCAGATGTCAGAAGCCCAAAATACCTGCCCTCGCTGCACCCCAGGCTGTCTGTCCTCGCCACACAGGTTCGGATTCTGCTTAGCTGAAGGACAACTTTTGGAAATTCAGCTCAAAAGGGAACAATCCAAAGATGGGCCGTTAGCGTTCCCTGGGCTAGAACCCACCTCTGGGAAGGAGAGCCCATCGCAAGCAGACGCAGCCTGAAAGCATCCATCCATCCCCTCATTAAGCCAGAGCCCCAGTTTCCAGATGCCCCAAGCCCTGATTCCTTTATTAGACGAGGACACCTTGTGACCAAGTGACCAATGAAAGGCATAAACAAGTGTGAACAGGGCCCAGGCCTTCCTATGAATCAGTCAAAAGCATAAGCTAAGAATGAACAGACCTCAATTAATCAGAGAGGAGTAAAGTCTTCAAGCTACCTGATGAAACAAGATGTTGAAACTGATCAAGATTGGCTGAAAGAATTCGCCACATCTCTGGGCCTAGATTCCAGCAGAAGGGAGTTAGGCTTGCCTTGAGAAGACAGACCCCTTGCCCCTGAAAGGGCAGGGGGATGGAAGCAGTGAGGCCAGAAGGGTGCCACATTCCCCTCTCACCTACTGACCAGAAAACAACAACTCTGTGGGCAGAGTAGAAGAGCCGGACCTCTGACTGGCACCAGTGGTCCCGAAGGAGCAGTGGCCGATGGCATGCCTCTTCCAGCAGCTAAGAGACGCACCACAGACAAAGCAGGCACACCAAGGGAAGGGAGTTTCAGGACTGGATGAGGGTCTCAGCCCACAGACAACTACAAACACACACCCCAGGGGAACTCCATGAGAACTGCACAAGGGGAGAAAAGGGTTTCCAGAAGCCAGGGGCTGCCACTTTATTACGTGCACTCTCTAAGCTGGAGCCCACTCTCCCCAGCGACCAGGGGAGAGCATTTCCCTACCTCCCTGCCCTCAATGGTGTGTATTTCTCTTCTTATGCCATCTTGGTAAACATCCCTTCCTAAAAGCTACTTAAGTCTGGTTGGCAGTCAGTGGGGAGCCCACTGGTGGGGACTCATGAGCAACAGTGTGAGAAAACCACTCCCAACCCATCAGAGTTACTCTAGAATCCTGGGAGAGAAGCAGCAAATGACCCCAGACTCCTGACCTGGAAGTTCCCATGGGGGCTGGGAGAGTGATTTTACAGCTGTCACTGTGGTCTTTGTCTACCAAAGCAAGAGTGAACTTCTCTCTTCACAGAAACACTTATAAAGCCTCCCTTGGTTTCGTTGAAAAGACGGAGAGGGAGAAGCGCTATGGGAAGGATGCCGCATCCCTGTCTGATGTGACTGCTGGGCTGGCTGCTTTTTCTTAGCTGGTTTCCTTTGTTACAAGGAGAGGGCTCATTGGGAGGAGGCGGCTGGGGAGGAAGGGAAAGAGAGAAATTCTGAAGGTCACTGATATTTAAAAGGGCAGCAATAAAACTTTTTTCAAGTTTTATTTTATTTCTAGTTTTCATTTAAATTTTTAAAAAACAGATCCTAGAATACAATTCCTGAGAATCATAGTTTCTCTGCACATCAAGGAAAGGCGACTGTCCTTAAGGGTGTCCCTCCAGGATTGATCATCACCAAGATGCCCTGTCCCACATCTCTTGGCACTGAGGAGGGATTCCTTCTTAATAATGAGTACATACGTACCCAGCCATCACACACAACAATCAAGTCCCCAGTCACACTTTCAAGGACATATCTCCAACTCCCCCTTCCCCATTACATAATCTTATTCAATTCTACACTCCCCAACCATTTTCAAACCTCGCTACCTGCCTCAGGCCCCTCATGCCCTTTCTGCTGGGCTCTCACAAGCCAGCTTTCTCTTTATCTTGTCCAGAGCCAGACCTGGCACTTCCCAACCATGTCTGGACCCCGCTACCATTCACTGACCACCCTCCACCACAGCCCCCAGCCCCATCTCTGTCATTGTGTTCTATTCCCTCATTAGAATGTAACCATGCTTCCTTGTCTCCCTAGAACTTGGCCCAGTGCATGGCTCATCGCAGGCGCTCTATAAATGCACGCTCTCTTCTCTTTCGATTGTACAAAGATGCTAAACCTTAGGGAAGGTCTTCTCTCCCGAGCCCAGCTGGTCAGTCATCTAGCTCACAGGCAGAGGACTTTCAGGCCAGGCCACGTGAGTAACCCAGGATGATCAGACAGAATCTCACAACCGTGCCTTCTAGCAAACTAAGATCAGCCAACACCAGCTGCTAGAAGGGAGCCCCTCCCCCTGCTTCAACTCAGCGCCACAGATGTAAAGCGCCGGCACCTCAAGTCCCAGAGCCTGTGCCCCGGGAGCTTACGTCCTGCCGGGGAGAAGCAGGGATACTCACGTGGGTAAGTGAATACAACGAGACTTTAGCAGGGGGAGGCAAGATAACAATACAGAAGGCGGCACTTGCATCATACTTTGAAGGAAATGGGAGTCTAAGAGGTCCAGGCAAGGAGGGAAAGCCTACCTGGCATGAGGCACAGCCTGTGCAAAGTACCAGAGATGGGAGATGGAAAGCATCACATGGGAAACAAAGAGCCAACCAAAGAGTCTGACCAGAACACGGTTAACTGGAGCTGGGAAATGGACACTCCGTCTGCAGAAAGAGATGGATTGTGAAGGGCTCCAGATGCTTAAATACCAGAAAGAGGAGCCATGTTTTGTCCTAGAGGCAGAGGGGGCACTGGTGCTTCTCAAGAAGAGCACGGCCTCCTGAGCCCTGGGCCCCATCCCTAAGGCAGATGGCAAGGTGAGTCCAATGACAGGCCAGAACAGGATGCCAGGGAGGCCTTGGAAAGTCCTGTGGGCGGGCAAAGATCGCAGCAAATCCAGATCCATTTCACCCACGGATGGACTGGAGGAAGCACCAATAGGCATTTCTCCTCCCAAACAATCCCTGGAATTCAAAACGCAAAAGCGGTCACTCACCTGTGCTAAGCACCGCAACCAGACTGGGGGACACACTTTTCCTCGGCGCACCTGGAAAAACCAAGAAAAACAGGTCAGCTGCGTACTTGCAGACTCTGTATGAGACGCAGCAGCCAAGCACAACCAGGACTGGGGCTCTCCACGGCAGCTGGTGGGATGAGTCTGAGGCTGGGGGGAGAGCATGACCAGGACAGAGGACGGAGGGAGGGCAGTGGGGCAGGGACGCCACGGGGCTCCCCCTCGGCTAAGAGAGACAGCCAGGCTGAGGAAGAGGGCCTACCATCCACTCAACTGCTCCAAATACCTTCCCACCCAGCCCAGCCCCAGCTGAGGGATCCCGGAGCACCTGCCGCCGTCCCTCACCTCCTGCACAGACAAGACGCTCCCTGCGCGTGCACGGAGAGCTGGCAAGGTCAGAAATCCCTTCCAAGCCACGTGCCCTGGTCAGCCAAGAAGAGGAGAGGCTTTGAGGCATCCGCGGCACACCAGGAATCCAAAAATACAGCCAGAGGCCTTGTGTCCAAACAGCGGCACCGCCGTGCTGAAAATGGGCTCGTCAGGGCACAGACAGAGTACTGCCGGAGCCCTCAGAGATCATCTGACGTGCATGTGTGCGTGTGTGTGTGTGTGCATGTGCGTGTACATGTGTGCATGTATGTGCATGTGTGTGTCCTGGACCCCTTGGGCAGTTGTCCAGTGAAGCCTGTGGACGCTCTTCTCAGACAATAACAAACAATTCAAATGAGATCATACATGTAAAAGATATTTTTATTAACCGCTTGCAATACGACTTGCAAAGCACTTTGAGTATATTATTTCATTTGACCTTCACAACAACCCTGGGAGGCAGATGCTGTTATCCCCATTTTACAGTTGAGGAAACTGAGGCTGACAGGTTAAATGACTTGCCCAGGGTCATCCAGTTAGTCTGAGGCTGAATTTGAACTCAGATCATCCTGATGCCAACGCTCTTTTCATTGCACCACCAGCTGCCTCCCTCCTACTGGCGGTATCTACCTCACAGAGGTGTTGTGCAGACCCCAAAGCACGTAAGAAGTGGGGGGCCGGGGGCAGGTAGGTGGCGCAGTGGATAGAGCACCGGCCCTGAAGTCAGGAGGACCTGAGTTCAAATCCGGCCTCAGACCAAACACTTGACACTTACTAGCTGTGTGACCCTGGGCAAGTCACTTAACCCCAATTGCCTAAAAAAAAAAACAAACCACAAAAAGAAATGGGGGGCAGACACGTGGGATTCACAGAGCCCTATTTGCCCTGAAGGCCGCCCTGGAACCGCCAGCTTTTCGCAGGGAGCCCAGGGGCCCTGATGGGGGAGGGGAGGGTCAGGATGGTCAGGACAGGGAGCCAAGGGGCACTGTGGGAGCCAGGCCCACCAGGGCGCACAGCCTCAGGGAGGCCGAGCATTGATCCTCACAGGACCCTCACAGTCCCGCCGTGTTCACCCGGCCTACGCCAACGACTTCCTTCCGACTCCCGGTGGAGGAGACAAAAGCTGCTCCTCCTTCCTCTTCCCTCACCTAGTCACCCCTGACCCCCAGAGGCTCTTGCCTCAGGGGCTGCCGGGGGTCTACAGGGCTCGGCCGGAGAAGACCTCCATTCAGATCCTTGCTGCTGCTGCTTCCTTGACTAAATGACACTCTTGGCCTCAGTTTCCCTGCCTGTAAAATGAGGAGGGCATTCTCCTCCAGCTCCGAGGCCTAGGAGGCAACGAGGCCTTTCCCTTGGCCCTTCCCCGAAGGCCTAGGGCCTGGCTTCTCCTCACACTGACTGCCCTAGGACCCCCCACACTACGAGATGCCCCGCTGATGGATGCCCAGAGAGCAAGGACCCCAAGGGGCTTAAGGCACGAGGGGGGCTGCTTCGTGCCACCCTCCAGCCCCTGCTGCAGACCCTCTACCTTCAGGGAAAGTCTGCCTCAGAGAAGGCTGTTGGGGGGCAGGAGCAGAGAAAGACTGGAAGTGTCTCAGGAGAGGAGAAGTCAAGAAAAGAAGACCTTCAGCCTCTCTGTCCCCGTCCTTCCCTTCACTTGTTCTCAGAGGGAGGAGGACGGGAGCAGACCCTGGAGTGATCCCAGAGGAGGGGAGATTTTGGGGGCCCCTCCTCTGGGGCTCGGAGGCTTAGTACGAGGCTGTGGCCCTGAGGGGTTAAAGTCCCTGCCCAGGGTCAGCAGCCAGCCTGGGGCACAGGGAGACGGTGATCTCCCAGCCTCAGCTCGGCTCTGTCCTCCACGCCCCGTGGCTCTAGTCTCCTCAACGTCAAAATGAGGGGAAATGCCACGTGATGAGGAGTGAAGGAGGCAGGCAGGCACACACGTGCACACACATGCATATGTGTAACGTGTGCACACATATACAAACACAATTGTACACGTATGTCTATACATGTGCGCACACATATGTGAACATCTACATGTGTGTAAAGTCACACCAAGCCACACGGCTTTCTAGGGTCCCTCCAGCTCCCCCTGAGCAGTGCAATTAAGAGGACGTGGCTCAGGGCAGGGCCAGTGGGCAATGGAGGGCCCAGCCCATTTCACAGGCTCCTCCTGCCTTCTGGTTGACCCCCAGTACATGACAGGTAGAATGGACAACCTCATAACAGTCACAAGGGGCCCCTGCTATAGGTGTCTATCCAACCTTTTATCTCGTTTGGTCTAATTATGGGGGGAGGGATAAAAAAATCAAAGTAATAATTTAAAAGGAAGAGGAAAGAGAATAAATGCTAGCATTTATCGGGGTGGTGGCAGACATGACGAGACTCTTTCCCATTGGCTGGACGGAGGCATTTTCCACGCTGCCTGCCATCAGACACTAAACGTAAATGACTATCCCTGGAAGCCGCGGCTGCCCAGGGCATCTATGTGCAGAGAAGCCAGCACAAAGTAGGGCAAGCTCTCCAGCCCGAGGAATCCCGCGCCTGGCGTCAAGACCATCTGCGGGCAGTCAGGAGGCCCAGCTCCTGGTGCTGGTGTGACCCTGGGGGCCTGCCCCTCCTGTGTGGGATGAAGGGTGGGCCCAGGCGGGCTCAGGCAGACCTGCTCCATGGCCTCTGGCTTTCTAACAGGGCACGTGAGTGAGGAGCCCGGCCCTGTTCCTGGCTCAGCTCCTCCAGGCCGAGACAGAAAAAGGGGGGCTTCTGCAGGACAGTGCCCCGTGCCCCCCAGCCTCACGCTGCCTCAAGCCCTGGATACCAAACCTCTCCCTGCTGGGGGACCGAGCAGAGACCTCAGTAATGACAAATGAGACGAGCGGATGGCTCACCTCATCCCTCCAAGAGAGCCTCACGATAGCCGGAGGAGGCAGGGCTAGCACTACCCCCATTTTATAGGCCGCCACTGAGGCAGGCAAAGATTAAGGGACGTGAACACTGTCACACAGCCAGGGTCTGAAGTGAGATTTGAACCCGGGCCAACTCCAAGTCCAGAGCAAACCAGCAATCACCTCTGACTGTCTACACCCGCCCAGCAGAGATGCCGGTTCAAATCCAGGCCCTGCCATGGAGTGACTCCATCTATGTGACCTCCAGGAAGACATCACCTCTCTCCTTGGGCCTCAGTTTCCTCATCTGTGAAATGGGAGAGTGAGACTTCATGGTCTCTGGGTCCCTTCCGGCTCTTCCAGCTTTTCTAACCCTGGTAGCTGGTGCGCCTTTCCTCCTCAGATTACCTGGGATTTACTCATCGGCACTCATGGGATCAAAGACGTAAAGCTGGAGGGGACCCGACAGGTCAAGGAGTCTGGCCTCCTCATTGTACAGATGAAGGAACTGAGGCAGGGAGCTGGTTACGTGACTTGCTCAGGTTCACACAGCTAGCAAGTGTCTGAGGCAGGATTTGTACCCGGGGCTTGGTGACTCCGCCTCTGGCGCACCGTAGAGTTGAAGCTTCTGGAGGGCAGGGCCTCTCTGTCCTCATCCTCACAGCCTCAGTGCCCTGCTCAGACTGAGCTCATAATAACGGTTTGCTGACCTTCAAGTGGAGGCCCACCAAGAGGAGAGGCCAGCACAGAAGGAGGGACTGAGCGGAGCAGGGAGCAAAGGGCCTCCTCCTCCCAGAGGCGATGCCCGGCGGGTGGGAGCAGCAGGGAGGTGGGCTCCAGAAACGAGAAGCCAAGGCACACGCACACGGCAAGACCCGCACCCAGACCTGAACAGGGACCCCCATACTCGGGAGACCTCTGCAAAGGAGACAAGTACATGCCCGGTGAGAGCGAAGGCAGGAGGCCAGCCAGGCCCGCCCAGACCAGAGCCCTGGTGGTGATGGAGTACTGACCCCAATGAACAATGGTAGCATTTATACAGATCTTTAAGGGGTGCTAAGCACTTTACAAACACCACCTCAGTCGAGGCTCACAACAACCCTGGGAGGGAAGGGCTGTCTCCACATTATTCCCCCATATCACAGATGAGCAAACTGAGGCCAACAGAGGTAAAGTGACTTGCCCAGGGTCACACAGCTAGTTACGTCTGGACTCCAAGTCCAACCCCTATCCACAGCGCCACCTAGTGGTCACAAGCAATACCATCTGTAGAGCCTGAGGAAAGAAGCCCTAGTCCCAAAACACATGGTCTGAGCAGCATCTCGCATCCATCTATTTATCTGTCCATTGCCTGCTACACAAAATATGTAGTCTAGAATGGGCAAGACCACTACAAGGGAGGCTATCTGGTGACCCCTTCACTGAAAGGCCTCAGGCCTAGTCCTATTCTGGGTTTTATGCCAGGTTAAATAAAACTGGTCTCATAGCTGACATCCTACTACTGCCCTGGATACCTGTAGAGGATTGGGAATCTGGCACACAGTAGGCACTCAATGATTGCTTCAGCCAGTAAACGCAATGCCGTACCAAGTAGGCCTTAGTGAATGGACTGTATCCAAGGGAAATCCCGGAGAAGAACACAGCCCATGGAGGTCATTACTTAGAGAGAGGGTCCCACGGTCGGTGAACCTTGTTCATTGTATTGGGGGCCAGCTCCCAGCTGACACGGGGAATGGAACATGTCTTTGATCGATCCATCCCCAAGGCCCAGATTCC